AAAGAAGGACCTAAATATAAGAACAGAAATTATAAGACTACTAGACAAAATACAGAGAGAACACCTCAAGACACTTGGTTAGGCAATGATTTTTAAAGTAAGATCCCAACAGCACAAGCAACAAAAACAAAACTAGACACATGAGATTACATCAAATTAAGCTTTTTGCACAGCAAAAAAAAAACAGAGTTAAGAGATAAACTACAAATTGGGAAAAATATTTGCAAACTATTCAGCTGACAAAGGGATAATATCCAGAATATTTAAAGAACTCAAGCAACTCAACAATAAAAATAATAATAATATTAAACATCATCATCATCATCTGATTTTAAAGTGGATAAATGATCTGAATACTCATTTCTCAAAGGAAGATACATATATTGCTGATAATTATATGGAAAATGTTCAGTATTGCTAATTATCAGGGAAATGGAATCATTAGGAAATGGAATGATAAATCTTCTCATTCAGGTTAAATAGCTATTATCAAAAAGACAAAAAAACAACAAATGGCAAGGATGTGAAGAAAGGGTTGTTCGCATACATGATTAGGGAAATGTACACTAGGGTGGAAAACAGCATGGAGATCCTCAAAATACTGAAAATAGAACTTGTATCTGTTTTATAAATCCCAATATTAGGTATACATTCAAAAGAAATAAAGTCATTGCATCAAAGAGAGATCTGCAAGGCCACATTTATTGTAACAATATTTCACTATTCACAGTAGCCAATATATGGGCTCAACCAGGATATCTCTTGTTCATCAGTGGATGGATGAACTTTTTTTATTTGTTTGTTTTTTGAGACACGGTCTCACTATGTAGTTGAGAATGACCTGGAACTCACTATGTAGCCCAGGCTGGTCTTGAACTCACAGAGATCCTCCTGCCTCCGCCTCCTGAGTGTCTGGATTACAGATATGTGCCACCATGCCCAGCTGATGAATGAATTTTCTAATGTGACAATGAATGTTATTCAGTCAAAAAAGAGGATGAAATCTGGTCATTCGTGGCCACATGGATGAAATGTGAGGACATCATGTTAAATGAATAAACCAGACACGTAAAAACAATTACTGCATGCTTATACTCATTTGTCATATGGGAAAAAAAAGTAGAATAGAGATTACTAGAGCAAGTTAGGGGGAAGGAGGATAGAGAATGTGAATAATGGGTACCAAATATAGTTAGGCAGGTGGAAATGCAAATTACTCTGATTTGATCATTATACATTATTTACATGTATTGAATCAGAATACTGTACCTTATAAGATAAATATAAATGTTATATATAGTTGTAAAATAAACATTAAAATAACACTATTGGACAAACTGTACTATGCAAGACCAAAACTGAGTAACCTGGATTTTAGAAATCAGAAAATAACCATAGATTTTTATACTAAGGTATTCCCAGATGGATTACCAATATGAAGTATATAGTACATTAACATTTTAGTAACTACATAGTCAAATATTTTGATGTTGAACTAAACTGTACTCATCAGAGTTACCATATGCCATTTATTCTTCTAAACAACTATACCATTTGTGCCTGCCTCTCCATTGCTGGGAAGGGCATATTTAAACTGAAATTATCCAGATGAATGAAGAAACAGTCTAATGAATCACTGTAAATTCTTACGGCAATAAGATAAAAATTCATACCCAACTCTAATATGTTCTAACAATGTCTGCATTTCTTTAATATAAAAAGAGGTATAAATTATGAAACAAGTTCCTTTTTGTAACATGTATAAATATGACTGACCAATATTAAGTATTAGTAGAATATTATGTAAACAATCCTGAAGTACCCTAAGACTGTGAAAATAAACTAATTCACGAAAAACAAAGATCATTTCCTCTGAAGCCAGATTGCCTGGATTAAAAATTAGGCTCTGCCATTTATTATCTATAATAACGTGATCAAATTATTTAACAGACATACATTTCCTCTCCTATAAAATGAATTACAGAGCGGTGAAAAGATTTGAAATGTGGAAAGTGCTTAAAACAGTATTGAGACATATTAAGCTTTTACATCAGTGTTGGTATTCTTGGTTTGTTATCTAAAATAACTGCAATAAACAGATCCTATATTTCATCAGCATAACTTAACTTTAAAACACTTCATGGTTGGTTTAACGTCTCATACTTTGCTTCATTTAAAGAATTGAGGACCAGATCTTCCTGCCAGACTCTCAAACCTTCATGTGTACACATCCAAATTAATGAAGCAATTCAGCAATGTTAGTAATGACAAAGCCGAAAAATAGCATGGTGATTCCCTTTGCTGCTTGTCCTTTTCCTGCTAATGGAGATTTATGCAATGGAAAACAAATTATCTGAATAGGAAATTGGGACTTGAGCCTGAAAGAGTCTAGTGCTAAATGCATCTAATCATTTTCTACAGTATAATAATGTTCTTGGAAAAAATGCTGCACCATGATCCTAGGACTCTCAAGTTCAAATGTGTATGGGACCAGGCAAGCACTACGGCCATGTGAAGCACCCTGACTATAAACAGTTAAGTTATTCAAAATTGTAAAATCACACAATATAAGCTTTTTAAAAAATCTGCTGACCATATCGAGCCATTAAGATGCCCAACTGAGACCCTGAGTTATGTATCTAAAAGTGAAAAGTGACTTTAACTGCTTAGTAATGTTACAGATAATTTTTATTTTGTGTGCCTTTTATCATTTTCTAAATGTTTTACAACATACAAGATTTCCTTTAATGCCAATGAATAACAAGTACACATAATATGTGACTTTTAGGGGGAAAGAGAATAAGCATTTTTGTCGCAAGTGTCAAAATAAACAACCTGCTATGTCTTAGAACGTTACATAGCAAGCCTTGTGAGAAGGGGCCAAAATGATCGAATACCTTAAGGAACAAGAGGGAGAGAAATCTGTGGATGAGGTTAATTTGGGGAGACTAAGAACATCCTTAGATGTCTGTCTGATTTAGAAAAAAGTCCAGCCTATCATTTTTAACAGGCAGAATTTACAATGACTAAAATACAGTCAACATTCTAAGTGCTTTTTTAAAGTGGTGAGATTGTATTTAACTATCCAAAATGACCAAAAAAATCATTCTTTCTTTAAAACTCGAATTCTGCAATGCCTCTCTAAATCACACCGCTTGACTGAGCATCTTTCCAGAACCAACAGCATTTCTTCATCAAATGCCAGAGGAAATGTGAAGGTCAGTGAGGGCCAGAAGAGTCCATATCCTTGAGCAGACTTTGTGCAGGTCTTTCCGGGGCTTTGCACAAGCATGTTCCAGAGAGAGCCAAATAAATTGCTTTAAACTTTAGAAGTTTTAAATTAAAATAAAGAATCTACAATCCCCAATTCATCTCATTAGGAAAGTTTCTCCTTATCAACTCAAAGACAGAGTATACATAGCAAAAGGAGAATGTGCATTTGTGTATGCATGATCTATTTTTTTCCTCATTAAGTTTATTGGTACATTTTAGGTATACAGTACAGTTACATTCATCATTGGGATCTTGTACCTTTACATGATAGGTCTTGGTTCTCATTTTTCCCCTTGTCCCTGCTCTCCCTTCAACCCCTCCTCCCTTCCCTATTTACAAATATTTTATTTCTATTTTTTCATTTTCTCATTTTTTTATTTTCCCTTATTACCTTTCCCCTTCCCTTACCACTTTCCCTACACCTTTAGCCCTGTCCTTCCTATTTCACATTGTCAATTATACCATTACTATCATATGTACCATTATAGTTTTTCACACCAGTGAAACTATTCAGTATTTAAACGTGTGACTTATTTATTTCACTTAAAAGTATATCCTCAATATGCATCCATTTTCCTATGAATGACTCTAATTTATCATTCTTTATGGCTGAGTAATATTCCATTTTATAGAAAAACCACATCTTCTTTATCCAGTCTCCAACTGATGGGCAAATGGGCAGTTTCCAAGTTTTATGTATTACAAACTGTGCTGCTATAAACATGGGTGCACATATATCACTGTGATATGATTCTTTTAGTTCTTTTGGAAAGATACCCAGCAGAGGGATGGCTGGGTCAAATGGAACCTCTAGTCCTAGTTCTTTGAGGTATCTCCATGTTGATTTCCATAGTGGTTGCACCAATCTGCATTTGCACCAACAATGAAGAAGGGTTCCTTTCTACGCACACCCCTGCCAACATTTGTTATTGTGGGATTTCTTGATAGTAGCCATTCTTTGTGGGGTGAGGTGGAATCTCAGTGTTGTTTTCATCTGCATCTCTCGAATGATCAGTGATGTGGAACATTTTTTCATGTATTTACTTGCTGCTTTTACTTCTTTGTCTGATAAATGTCTGTTCATTTCAGATGCCCATTTCTGAATCAGGTCTTTATATTTGGGGGGCTGTTTTTCTTAGTTCTTTATATATTCTAGATAAAAGTCCTTTGTCTGAGGAGCAGCTGGTAAAAATTTTTTCCTACATTGTAGGTTGTCTCTGAGTTCTGTTGATGGCTTCTTTTGCAGTGCAGAAACTTTTTTGTGTGATTTATTTAGGAAAGTTAAAATAGCATCATAAATGCCATCCGTCATAACTACACTAAAAGCTCTCTTTCATTTTGAAATCCACTGGATAAGTTTCAGAAAAAGGCACCAGTCGTGATGAACCTAAATCAGGAAGTGGGTCGGTCCTAGGAAAACATTATAATCCCACTCTTCTGTGTAATTTTGCATTTCAGAGGAAACAGAATGTCCCTCTACTTTAATGCTTTGAAATTTGATAATAAATATGAATGGGACTCATACATATTTTGCAAACCAAATAGAATGTTTCAGAGTTTATGATTTTTCAAAACTATATAGAAAGCCAGTCAAAAGGAGTACACAAATTTTAGTATGCATTCAAAGGAGACTAAACAGTGACCGCTTCGACAGCACATATACTAAAATTGAAAGGGAATTTATAGGCAGAATTCCAATTTGAGGTACCATTTAGACTTGCTGTTCAAAAAAGAAAAAAAAAAGATTCAAAACCTGCAAATAAGAAACTACTATCATATTAATAAGTTTAATTCAGGAAAATTCAAGAAAGTGAACGTTTGTGAAGGGTTATGGACTGTTGTGGTTGATGTCTACATATCCTCCATGTCATGCACTTCTGGTGAGGCTTTGAGAAGGTGATTGCATTGTGAGGTCACTGTAGCTGACTTACAGGCGATAGAGTCTGGTCAGAAGAGGCAGGTTGCTAGGAGCATGACCTACACAGGTGTATCGCCCTTCCTCACCCCTCCCTCTCGGTTTCCAGTCTGCCACGTGGTAAGCAGCTTTCCTCCAACGGCCCTTCCCCATTTGCATTTTGGACTGGAGCCAGATGACTAGGGACTGAAACCTCTACAATCAGAGGCAAAATAAACCTTTCCCCCTTTCAGTTGTGGGTATCACGTCTTGTGACTTAGCAACAAGTAACGTGACTAAGACACACCAAAGAAGGGAAGTCCAGTATCACCTTATAGAGTGAAAATTTTATATTCAACATTTTTGCAAGCTGTTTTAGCCAATGCACTTGCATTAGTAAAGTACACTTCTGGGTGTATCTGAGTGGGTGGTGTAGGTGTGACCTTAGGGTTTATGTCTGGTCTCTTGTTCCTTCCTCTCTTGTGCTGTTTTCCTACTCTGCTTCCTGGTCGCCATGGACTAAGCAGCTTTGCTCTGCCAAACTCTTCCTCCATAATGTTCCCGGCTTGGTGCCAGCTAACCATAGACTGAATCTTCTGAAACTGTAACCAACAATAAACCTCTCTGCCTTTAAAATTCGAGTGTCAAGTAGTTTGTCCCAGCAACGGGAAATCTGTCTGACATACCTTGTTAGCATTAAAAGTGAAAGCGATTTATCTATTGTTTATACAAAATATTCTGCCCCAATTATGTCCCAGAACAATTTCCTAGAAACATCAATTCCACAGAATTACTATGTAGAATAGGCAGTAAATGTGGGAATTATTTTAACATAGTAGTGTAGAGTGAAGGCTGTGTGTTCAGAGAAATGGAGTTCAGAATCACACTACTCACATGATGTTGGATGAATTTCTTCACAGCTTCGTAACTTAGTTTTCCAATCTGTGAAACATGGAAAAAAAATTGTGTCTACATCATAGAATTAATGGATGAAGTTTTCAGAAACCAAAACAAACAAACAAAAAATGCAAAGTTCTTAGAATAGTGTCTGGTACATAATGCATACTCAAAAAATGATGATTGTCATTGTTATTAGTAATAGTGCTAGCATTACTATTATATTAACTATTATAACTGTCAAGTCTGTTTTGGATATGTTGGGCTAATAAAGTAAAACAAATTTCTTTTCTGAAGGACTTTGGTGTTACTGATATTCATTGTTATTCTCCAAGGGACAGTTTTCAGTGTTTTCCAAACTGATTTTCACCGTGGAGTTTTTTGTTTGCCGCTATACATTTTTCAAAACTAATGTCAATGAACAGGCTTGAGAAATATAAATGAGTAAAAAGAGAATTACAAAAAGGATGTTTAAAAAAGATAATAAACTTGTCTTTCCAGTACTATCACTGTGGTGAGGAATTTTTTTTTTTTCTCACACAGAGATTTGCATGGTGGAGGAGTTCTTGTTCTAAAATCGAGCGATATGGCTATGTGCACCAGCTCCCTCGTTTAACACTCTATGACCTTAGGCAAGATACTTGACTTCTCTGCTTTCACATTTGTAAAATCATAGGATTACTGTGGGAATTAATGGAACAATCCTAGTAAAGCATCTGCGAGAATGCTATCAAGTTAGGAAGGGGGTTGTGCTCAGGGATCCTGGGCATTGATGGGTCTCCATCGCTGCACTCCAACCTCAATGGTCTTATGACTCTCAGATGTGGACTTGGATCTGAGAACCAGGAAGACACAAATATCACCAAATATTTCTAGCTAACAATGTATCATTGCTGGTATATGAGCTGTGACGTACCAATGCATTCTGCTTCTCAGGCCTTCATGACTGAGCCCAGCTCAGTCACTACTAGGACTTCGGCACCAACAGAACCTGCTGTAATATAACCTCTACTTTTTTATTGCCTTGTACGCCTTCCCTCTGATAGATTTCCATATTCTTGTTTGGCTTATATCCAGAAATTAACATAGGTATCTTAGGGTTTAAAAAGGGGAAAATAAGAAAGTTCTAATGTAGCTAAATGGAAATAATAAACCAAAACAGTGCCCCAACACTAGACACACGATAAATGTCAAAGTCTAGCAAGCCTTCCCACCCAAGAGTTTGTGTCACCAAAATCCTTACAATTTGGGGGTGATTCTGTCTGGGGGGAAAAAGTAAATATAAAATATAAATTTATGGAAAAATTAGAACAGACACATACAAGTAAGCTGTGAACCATAAGCTTCATTAGCATTGCTCTAAATCCATTCAAGAAGGTTGGGAGTGTAGCTCAATGGTGAGGCCCTGGCTTCAATCCCCAGCACCGCAAAGAAAAAACAATTCCTGGGACAGAAACATATAAGGCCCTGTTTTCAAGGGCTTTAAATATAAGGGAAACAAGACTGCATGTAAGAGTTTAAATAGTAACAAAAATATGTAGAAAAAACATTTAGAATGATACATGAATGACAGAAAGCAATATATAATAAATCTACAGGAATGGCACAACTAGTAAGTATTATGAGAATTCAAAAGAGAATCACCATGAAACTGGATTATCCTAAATGGCTTCACACAAAAAGTGATGTATTAGATCAATAATGGAGAATTCAGAATGAGAAATTAGAATCTTTCATAGGAAAATGGATACATATTGAGGATATACTCCTAAGTGAAATAAATAGGTCACACAAGTATAAATACCGAATAGTTTCTCTGGTGTGAAAAACTATAATGGTGCATAAAATACTAATGATATAATTGATAATGTGAAATAGGAAGAAAAGGGCTAAAGGTGTAGGGGAAGTGGGAAGGGTAGGAGAAAGGCAATAAGGGAAAAGGAAAAAAATGAGAAAATGAAAAAATGGAAATAAAGTATTTGTAAATAGGGAAGGGAGGAGAGGGTTAAGGGAGAGCAGGGATAAGGGGAAAAAATGAGAACCAAGACCTGTCCTGTAAAGGTACAAGATTCCAATGATGAATGTAACTGTACTGTATACCTATTCAATGAGAAAAAAACAAAAAATTATGTATTTAAAATAATGAAGAATTTATGTAAGCAAAAAGGACAATTATATGTCCAGAGGTTCATATGGAACCTCTACCTGTCCCACACACAATGACCTGGATCACCATAACAAAACACCACTCTGATGATTTCACTCTACTTTTTTTTTTTCAAGATTTGTAGTTTCATTGTACTTTTAAGGTGAAGCTCAAAGTTGTTAGATGGACATTTAATGTCTTTAATTGGTTATTCACAGCTTATATCCAATTAAAATCCTTCCAGAAACCCCTGTCCTATCTGAACAAGAACAGGAGACACGCATAGCAGGTGCTTGCAAACCAGTGGCTCAAGGGAAAGTGATAGCAGGTCACAGTGATAGCAAATTTCTAGAGACCAAGTGCCCAAAGTGCAACCCAAAGCACACTTACCACAAAGTGCCAAGATTGCAATGCAATCTGAATGTTGAGGTTTTAATTTAGTAAAGAACAAACAACAGCTGTTATCTGATGCTCAGCTGCTGGGACAGCTTGGCTCACACAAGGGCAGAAAGGGCTCTTCATGCTCATGCAGCACAAGTACAACAGGCTCGGCACCCCCGTATGAGCCAGCAGGACAAGCTCATACACAGATGAGTAAGGTTTAGAGTAAAGAAAGAACATAGTCAGGTCTTTGTGTCCACAAAAATGCTGTAAATATGGCTTCAAAAATGTTTAAACGACAAATTTGTCAATTAAATTTTAGTAGTTTAAATGAAAATATCTTTTACCAGAATATCAGCATCTACTGGGAAGTTTTGACTTGAAATCAAGAAGACACAGGTAGGATTGAGAGAGATAAATATTGCATCTCTCCCAGGCAGAGTTCCAATATGGTTTAATTCCAAGAAAACAGTGCTCGCTTCAGCAGCACATATAATTCCATGAAAACATCCCCCTATATTCCCTAAATTGCTTAATGAAATCTATAAATTACAAAAACATAAAATGCCTAGAAATAAAGTCTTTCTTCAAAAGATATTGCAGTCTTTTAGAAATAAGGATCACAATACTGCTATGGTTTTTAGAGTCCAGTCTTAATTTGTAACTCCCAGAACTACAGAGAACACTTACAATTTAAACTCAACAATGCAAGCTTTACAAATACCACTCAATAACTAAAATAAAACAATTATCTGTATTTATTACTTGGACTAGCATTTTCACATGGATCGCTAATAACTCTGCTTCTTGGATAATTTTCCTAAATGCTTATCAGATGTAGTTAGTTTGCTTAAATATGTCAAACCCCTACATCTCAATTCCAGCTCACACTATTTTTCACCCCAGTTTTCTGTATAACTGAATTTCCAGATGCTCATTGAATATTTGAAAACTGAGAGGAGTAACAGATATAATAAGAAAGCACTGTCATATATTATAAAGTATGTTCTTCATTTTTCTCAGCTTTAACACTCAAAATAGAAAACCTCTCACCTTCATACCCCAAGAGTCCATTAAAAGGTTGTCCTGGTGCTCCTGAAGGTGCTAGGGGCCATCAAAACAAAAGATCATTTACATGTATCAGTAAGCTGTGAGACACAGCTTTAAAAAGTAGAGAGTCACAGGCCTCTCCATCACTTCTATAATGTCCCAAGTTGGAATAATTCTATATTTCCATCATCAAAATGAAACAGAGGAGAAAATACCATAATAGAAGTAGAGCAGTGTATTTTTTGTTCTGTTGGCCTTGGTAAATTACACTCAAATAAAAATAGTTTACTAATATACCCAAGGGAATTAATACTTCATACATTTTAAAGAATTATATTAATTTCAGTATAACACTTCTGTCCATAGAAAAATATATACAAAAATATTTTGAGGAATTGTTTTTTTAAATAGGCCATTATACAATATTACAATGCTTTTTTTTAAAAGATGAGACAGAATATATTAGGCACAGATACAAATTCCATATGATGAGTGCAATCATTATGTATATCTAAAATGTACCAATAAATGTTTTGCTCAAAAAAAATGTTTAATGTCAAGAGTCTGTTTTTATTCATCCTTCGAATACTTACTGAAGATATCCTATGTGTGCAGCTTCTCACTGGGTCCTGCAGAGGAAATTCAAAGAAGTTAAGATGTAAGCCCTGTCCTAAAAGACACTGCAATCTTTATAATTAGAAAAAATGCATATCTACAAACTAATGAACAGTTTGACAATGCATCAGTTAAGGACCAGGTGATGTAAAATGTAATTGGAACATAGAGATAAATATAAGGTGAAGTAGTCAGAAAATATGTCCTAAATATGTCCTAGGTTCTGGAACATAGGAATAAAAAAAACAAATAAACAAACAAACAAAAGGAAAAATACATGCATTGACCAGAACTACTGTATCTTGTGGATAATTATTTTGCATACTTCAATTTCAAACTTTCAGAAGGGTGAAAATGGCATAAAAGAATCAGCACTTAATGCTCATATTCCATCTTAGCTGATTTCTGCGTATTCCCCCCAAAATATATTAGAATATTATTCTTACATAGATATACATTAAATGCTTAGCCAGTGCTAATTAGTAATGAAATAATCATTTCTTGCATAACCAGGCCTTTTCTGTACTGGATAATGGAGTTACCAAAAAAAAAATAAAAAACATTCCTTGTCTTCCAGCAACTCATAATCTAGTAGAGAGCAGAGCTGTAGCCAACACCTGAGAAGAGTGTGAAAAATGACACAATGCAAGAATGGACACTCAATACCAAGCCTCTAGTTCTGATAGTTGTTCTGATAGCAGCAAAGGCAGCAAAGACATCAAAAGATGTATAAGAACACAACAGGAAAGGAAATAAGTATAGGAAAACAGTATATTACAACTGGAGGAAAGAGCATGAGCAAAAGCTGAAAGTGGCATGAGAATTGAAGGAGACAGGATACAGAAAGCGCATGGGGAACAGGTTCTGAGAAGTTGTATTAAAGAAGGGGTACCATCCATGAGGCCAACAGTAGAGTTTATGCTCAAGCCAAGTAGAACACAATGGTTTTAAGCAGGGAATTTACTGGTGTGGTTCATATTTTAGAAAAATTTCTCTGAAGTACAAATAAAAGAACAAAAATACTCCAAGAAATTGGAAGTGTTATTTAAAACTTATTTGTCTATCCTAATGTTCCCTAACTACATTGGTAAGCTTTTATTTCCAAAGTTATGGTCTTTATTTCAAATGGTTCTTATGCAATGTCTGTTAGAGAAAAGGATGTGAAAGAATAAAATTGATGTCAATTCAATGAAACTCTTTATTCTGTCTTTGTAACATAATGCTTTTTGAACCTCCCAGTGTTAGATACACTCATGCCTTCTCAATTATTCATTTCTCATTATGTAAAGAAAATTAAGCAAAACGATTCTGACTGAAGGAGAAAAAAACCAAATATAGAGCCAAGAATAACTTACCGTAAGCAGCGAGTGGTATAAGTTTAAACAACCATTTAGAAAATTATCTTATCATAAAAGCAAAAAAAATTTACATGCACGAAAGTTTAAAACTCCATGTATTCATTGTATGATTGTTCTCCTTCTCCTGAACATTTTCAAATCGTGTCTATCTCTGAGACACTTTTACCTAGAAAAAAAGATGGAATAATTTTTAATGTATTATGTTGAATTATTTTTTTATTTCTTTATAAACATATTTTTTCTAATATTCCTATGAAGTCAAATGTGTTCCTTTGGCAGCTTGCAGATTTCAGAAAAACTGTCACCTTTACTAAAAATTCACTGTCAAAATAACATTTAAGTTTAGTAGGAAATTTCAGTTGTTTTGTTATATCAGAAATGTCAACTAAAAATTCATGGAATATAATAAAATGAATATGTGTGACAAGTAGCATATTTCTTTAATTTTACTATTCAAATATTATCTGGAAGGAAAATTCTTAAGGGAGCTTCCTGTTTTATAAAACCCTTCTTATATATAAAGTTTAAGGGTAAAAAGAAAAATAACATATACAGTCTTGGACACACTAATGTTTAATCCTTGGCAGAATTATTATTTTGACCCCTTTATAAAATAGCTTCATGTTTATAAAATTCTCAACTACTTAAAGTATACTTTCTATTAAATTTTTGGAACTCCCATTTGATATCTGTACTACATCATACGGAATTTGATCTGATGACTTGATTTTGGTGAGTTTTTGTCATTGTTTAAACCAAATTTCTATAAAGGAGTATATACTACCTATAGTGTGAAAAAAGTGTTTTTTGACCAAAAATGCAATGATTCCTGAAAGACAAAACTGAATTTCCCTAAACCAGAAACTTCTAAAAATCAATAAAAGAGCACTTAGTGCTCTTTTAATGGGTATGTTCTGTTTAGTTATGTAACTTTTTAAAAACATATTTCTGTTTTTTTAAACTCCCTGTAGGAAAATCATCAATAATTTTCAATAATAAAATAATAATAATAATTATTATTACTATTATTATTGTAGGAAACCAAGTTGCATTAAAGTTCACTAAGTTGTTTATTCCTGAAAGACAAAACTGAATTTCCCTAAACCAGAAACTTCTAAAAATCAATAAAAGAGCACTTAGTGCTCTTTTAATGGGTATGTTCTGTTTAGTTATGTAACTTTTTAAAAACATATTTCTGTTTTTTTAAACTCCCTGTAGGAAAATCATCAATAATTTTCAATAATAAAATAATAATAATAATTATTATTACTATTATTATTGTAGGAAACCAAGTTGCATTAAAGTTCAAGCTAAGTTGTTCTGAAGTGACAGATTTTTATTTCTAGATTTTCCACCTATAAGACTTACAGAGACTTGTGTAATTATATTGGGTCAATAGAATCGATGTAAATGTAGTGTGGATAACTAGATGAAAGCTCATGCTATAACATTTCTTCAATTACAGAGTTTTAAATTTTTGCTCACCTTATTTCAAATAATTGCCTCTATTTTCTACCTTGGCTATATATATAAAACTTTAAAAAGAATCAATAATTCATGTAGGCTTCTCTAGCCAACTTTTCTCCTTCTGAAAAATGGATTTGAAGTTATTTCTTTCATATTTAATACTAGTATAAGTTATGATTCTTTTTTAAAGATTTTAGTTGTAGATGGCAGAAAAGACTTAAAATTAGCCTATATCACTCTTCTTGTAGGAGAATCAGCTTGTTTTATGAAGTATATGAAGGGATAGCAAAATAAAATTATTAATTTTAATGAGATCCAATCATGGCTAATATCATTTTGTACATATATTAAAATTACTGGAATTATTTTTGAATTCAGAAAATAGGCATATATAAATAATAAAACAAAATTCCTTTGAAGAATAAAAAGTGAGGTTTTTAACCTCAATTTATTAATTTATTAATATATTTGTAAGCATGTATACTATATTTTCTAGCTAATCTAGTGATTTTATATAATGTCAGACATATTATGTCTAAATAGGATTTCATGCATCACATTTTTACTCATTAAATGTAAAATAATATTTAACTTTGTCTTACTTGAAAGCAAGGTATAAATCACAGAAGGAAAATGAGGCCTAAAATTATAACAAAGTGTCAAAAGAACCTTTTAATTAAAAAATTACATAAAGCCTCATATATTTCTAGCAATTAAAATAGTGATGAACTAGATAAATGCAATATCACAGGATAATATAAATCTGAATTTGGAAAAGAAAAAGTTATAAGATCTTCATCGAGCTATACAAAATTGTAATACTATAAAGCTTATCCCACTATTGAACAAGGTGATCTCTGAAATTACAAGGCAGTGAATTCAGAGTTATAAAAAGGAAATATTACTTCATAACCTTTAGTTAACTTGTAGCTACAGTTCCACAGGAGGTCATAAAATAAAATTCTGTGGTTGGATTTAAAAGCTGGATAATTTTATAGCCACTCATAATATCAGAGTTCAAGCTCATTTCTTTCAGCAGGTAGAATAGCATTCTTTGATCATACATATAAATATACTACAAAGGAAGAAGGTAGGTGGTACAAGGTGTTGTCTTAAAGGTTAAATATTGGTTGGGCTAGGGATTTAGCTCAGTGGTGCTGCTGCCCGCCCCGCAAGTGCAAGGTCCTGAGTTTGATCCCTGGTACCAAAAAAACCCCAAAAAAAAACCAAAAAAAAGGTTAAATATTGGTTACTTGGAGTTAAGTGACACTTTAGTCTGCTTTCCAACATACAGAGACTAATGAAGGAGAATAGAGACCACAGGAAGCAGCCTTTGTAAGTCAGGATTTATAACTGCCCATAGCATCTGTCCATCAGTTTTCAGACGCACACATACAATAAGCGCACATCTGACATAAAACTATCAAGTTATTTCATTTTGGGTGATCTTCCACTTCCAAAATTAAGCTTCACTTTTCAGAATGCCTTTTCTTCTTCTCTGTATGGTGTTTTAGCTTAGGAGAGTTCCATTATCATCTGTTTAAAAAATACAAAATAACAATGTCTTGTCTAAGCAAACTTTGAACCGCTTTTAAACACATACATTCTGTTCACCTTTAAACACTTTTTTGAATTGCCACTTTCTGTATCTGTGCCTTTGCTCATTCTGCCTCTGCCCCTGGAATGCCATTCCCTGCTCCTCTTGCTTCTTAATTCCAGTTTCTTCATGAAGTTATCCCTGTTATTTTCAGATGAAAATAATACTTAAATTACCCTCTCCACCCACCATATACACCCAAAATATTAGATCTGTATTTTTGGTTTTTATGCATTTCTATCTTACTGTAAAATTATACATGAATACATTTGGCTTACTCCTTGCTTACCTCTTGTTTTACAAAAATGAAAAATCTTGCAAGCAGGAGCCATACTGAAGTTATACATTGTGTGTTTCACAGCACCTCACTTAATATCTTCAGGGTGTCAAGTGTTCACATTTATGGCACGATGAAATAACTGAATTAATGTGGTTTGATGTTTATATGGATGGGTGCTTCCTTGGACAGTAATGTATGGTAAGAATTACTTTTTGATATACCTGTTGCCTTTATCTTTATATAATTCTTACCTCTCACATACCGGCTGACAATTGTTTTCTTTCTTGCTTGCTTTTGAAATTTGCAATCCTTCAAATTAATAAAAATAAAATTAATTTCTATAAAAATACCATTCTCAGATCCACTATACAAATGAAAAAATAATGTAATAAAAGTGATAAATAAAGTATTGCTGAGAGTGCCCTTATTTTAAAGAGGTTTATGATTGTTTCTGGGTAGAGTTGAATGAAGAACCAAAAATATCATTTTGTTAACCTGCTTCTTCCATCTAGTGGCAAAAAGCAGTAAGAAACAAAGTCCTAAAAACAACACCATGATCATATAGTTATAAATACCATTTTAGGAAACATGGATGTGACAGTACAACGTAAGACATTAAATTCTAAGTATCTACTAATTATTTTTTCAGATTAGCACATTGGCAGTGTCCTGCTGGGAAATTTGTCAAAGTTATTTAAAATCATATATGTATTTGCATGTTTTCACAAAGACTTCAGCTACCTACATATCCCTCTGTATCAATGCTTCACATTAAATTGGATGGTTTATTTGGGAATACACAGTTACATATCCGGAACAAGTTGTTGGAAAACTACTTAGAATTCTATTATTTCACTAGCTATGGACAAAAATATGGCACCCGGCAATTAAAAGTTTTCAAAGGTACCACTGAGAAGCACTGAAATTGAACTGTCTCATTGTAATTGAGAGGTAGAAAACTTTCACAATGATAGGCGGTGAAATATTTTATGACCTGAGACATGGGGTCAATTGGAGGAGCTGAAAGAGGCAAAGATGAAAGAAGGTCAAAGCAGTACTCTGCAGTTAGAACTTGAAACATTAATGAAAAAGTCATACGCAGGGCATAACATAATTGTGCATTCTCAAAGGCTACCAGCTTATCCCTAATACATGAGATTTGATTGCCCTCTAATAATTTGTTTGCCTCACTGCAGATGTAATTAATGTTTTAGAAGTTAAATGTGGGTTGCACAGAAATGGAAAAAAAAAAATCTCTGAAACTGAAAGCTTTTTCCTTTCCCAAATTTGAGTGCATCCATTAATAATGTGTAATGGTCATAAATTAAGAGAGTCAGCGTTTTTGAATATGTTAAGACTATAAGGAGAAATCCATTCATTAATATAACGATTATTTCAAATGCAATATTTCTATTTTAAAAATCTACACGTTTATTTCTTAATTTTTAAAGAGAGAAAAATTAACACCCTCACCCCCTAAAGAAAATTTGAGTAGAGTAGGATTGTCTGTTAGTTTCTCTCCTCTCCCTCAAATGCAAACAGGCTCTAGTTTTTATTTTCGGCTGCATATGAGATGATTGTGGTAGAAATAGGGCGGCAGGAGAAATAGGTGGTGATTAAAAGGAAAGGGTGAGGCAAAGAAGTTGGAATCAGTGGACAACTCTACCTGAGAAAACAGAGAAGCAGGAGTTGGCTCCAACGTCTCTGGTGTTCTGGTGGACAGTCTTGCTGAAGAGTTCTAAGGAAAGGGAGCCAACTACCTGAGAGACTGTGGAGCCATTGCCACTGTGTAAACGTGCAAGCAGCCAACAGACTCCAAAGCCCTACCTATTTGTTACCATTTGGCACAAGCAAGAGCCAGAACAGGGACAGAATCTGGTGTCCCAAAAGGATCGCTAACACCTATGATGGAACCTAACCTGGTTCTCATCATTTCATTTACTTTGCAGCCAAGTGTCCCCACATTACTGGCAATTACAATGTGTGGGTCCCTCGTATGTGTTTCAAGGTGCTTTCACTAAAGATAGAGATTTTTGGTATTTAAAAATTTTCAACAATGGAGAAAGTGAATTTCAGGCAAATTGTCTACATCACCACTGATGTTAATATTTCATTCATTATTTTTAAGGACAAAAGAGAAAGGAAGAGGATATACAGTAGTAGTCAGGAATGAATACTGCAGTACAGCTTCTTTGGCTGGAGTCTTGGTTTTCATTATCAGCTCTGTGAGATTGGACAAATTACACAACAATTTGAGTCTTTCTTTACTCTTCTATAAAACAGGAAAATGATAATACTGACCACATAAAGTTGTTATGGATCAATTAAATGAGAAAATGTTTATAAACTACTTGAGAAATAATAGTAGGTACTTAGTAAGAAATATTACTTACAGGGCACATAATATATACCAAGCATTTTTGCAGTTATTAACATGAAACATTTACATAATATATGTAACAAAGAGCTCTCTTTGTTACAAACAGTTCCTTATCATAGTTTACCTTTCTAAACAGGCATGGTGATTTTTCTGAATGAGTTTTAAACTGCCTTCAACTCTTTAGGTAGCCAATAAACAATAATAATAATAAATTATTGTATGTGTCTGTTTTTTTTTAATTTCTTCAAAAATAGCTGAAAAGTTCAAGGTTTTTGCAAGGAACCTTAAAGAGCATAACTGAAAACAAAAGAAGCATATGAGCAAATAAAAACAAAACATCTCTCATTAAAAACAATCCCTCCCTCCTCCATTGTTGGTGGGAGTGCAGACTAGTGCAACCACTATGGAAATCAATATGGAGATACCTCAAAGAGCTTGGACTGGAGGTTCCATTTGACCCAGCCATCCCTCTGTTGGGTATCTTTCCAAGAGAACTAAAAGAATCATATCACAGAGAAGTATGTGCACCCATGTTTATAGCGGCACAGTTTGTAATAGCTAAATCTTGGAAACAACCTATTTGCCCATCCGTTGGAAACTGGATAAAGAAG